ATTTAATTCACTTGAGAATCAAGAGAGAGAAAGGAGGACCAGGAACATTCAGTATGAAGAAGACTTGTCTTCCCATTTATAGTCAAGGGTAGTAATCAAACAAATAAGAAAGTCATTGGTAAATAAGTTTATACTCTGATAAGAATATTCCTTGAATAGAAAAATCAAAAAGTCAATTAAAATAACTTTTTCAGTGTTGAATTAAATTCATCAACACTTGAACATATATTTTTAATGTAAATACCTTCTTTTTTTTTTTAGATTTATTTTATTTATTTATTTATTTATTTATTTATTTATTTATTTATTTATACAAGCATTGGGTATGGTCAGAAGCGCGGGAGGGTGAGAGAATTCACCAGAGCCAGAGCAGGGAACAGAGCAGGCAGAAGGACCAAAGTACACTGCTGAGGGGAGCAGCGGGTGGCAGGAGAGGTCTGCGGGCCATGTGGGACCCTCCTCCGGTGGCTGGGGAGCAGCCGGGGATTGAACTGGTGCTGCAGAGGCTGCGGGCAGTTTCGCAACCCAGCGCTCAACCGCTGCACCACAGGGGAGGCCCTTGAACATATATTTTTAAATAGACATGATTGTGTATTTTATTTTTTTTTAAATTTTTTAAAGATTTGGGCCTCCCCTGGTGGCGCAGGCAGTTGAACACCACACTATGAAGCTGTCCACAGCCTCTAGCGCCAGTTCGGTCCCGGCCCGCCAGTGAGGGTCCCACATGGCAAGGCAGACCTCTTCTGTCTTGCCCGCTGCTCCTCTTAGCAGTGTATTTCGTCAGTCTGCCTGTTCTGTTCCCCGCTCTGTCTCTGGTGAATCCTTTCACCCTCCCACAATCTGGCCTGTACCCTGGTTCTTGTGTAAAATGAATACATAAATCTTTAAAAAAAAAATTATTTATATACGCATACAAGAGCTGGGACACAGGCCAGAGGTGTGGCGCAGGGAGAGAGGACCCATCAGAGACAGAGTGGGGAACAGAACAGGCAGACTGACTGAAATACATTGCTGAGGGGATCAGCGGGCAAGTCAGGAGAGGTCTGCTGCGCCATGTGGGTTGCTTCCTGGCTGGGAATTGAACTCATGCTGCAGAGGCTGTGAATAGCTTCATAGGTTGAGTCTTAATCCCTTGTGTCACCAGGGAGGCCAGGTTTGTATATTTGAAAACCATATACAGTTAAGTGCATTATTGGACGGTCTAGGAATCATATAGCAGTGCTGTGTTAGGATTACTTAATCTAAGAAATTCTCAGGACCTTGAGTTTCTTCTATCTTTTATTCTACTACTTATGGTTTCTCACTCCTAAGATCTGCTCATAGGCCAAGAAAAGCTCCAGTGCAAACGACATCCATTCTGGAGCCCAAAGGGAGGAAGAGAAAATCAATGAGCTGCAAGGGACAGGTATCAGAAATCTTTTCAAGAAGTTGCCATACTTCATTTCTAATGGGCCAAAACTTTCCCATGACCCCACATCAAAGAAATATTGTGTTCATTCTTGGCTATGCTGTGAGTCAGTGAAATCAGAAGCTATATTAGCGAAGAAAGTTGGAAAAGTCATAGGTGGCAGGCATAATCTCTTCCACAATTATTTTCCATTCATGGCATTTCCATCTGACAGTGACAGTCAAAACATTACTAGTCATCCTCCCTCAATTACTTGCCTCAGGGAATGGGGATGACTTACCTGTTGTTGAGTATACAAAAAATAATAATAATAATACTGGGCATAAGTAGTTTAGTCTCTCATTTTTGCTTCTTTTGAAGGAGGCAGCTTGTCAGCAGAGAATGCATACATCGAGCACCTCCATGGACTAAGTTTTATTTTTTTAAAGGCTTACTTATTTATGTATACAAGAACTGGGGTGCAGGCCAGAGGGGAAGTTGAGAGGATTTGCCAGAGACAGAGTAGGGCACAGAACAGGCAGATTGGCTGAAGTACACTGCTGAAGGGAGCAGCGGGCAAGTCAGGAGAGGTCTGCTGCACTATGTGGGTAGATTCCTGGCCTGGGATCGAACTAGTGCTGCAGAGGCTGCAGATAGCTTCACATAGTGCTGACACTTAACCCCTTGCACCATCAGGCAGAACCATGGGCTAAGTTTTATAAAACAAATCTCTACCCCTCTGTTCTCCTACTCTTCTACACTATTTTTGTAAGCCTAGTATTGCCAAGGAATACTGCATGTCCTTACAAAAAGCCCTATTAGGATATAAATAATTTGTGTTTCCTTTCTGTGTCTCTTGGTTGGTTCCATTCACAAAGTAATCTCTCAAAACACTGACAATATAATTTCCCTTTGAAAGTCACAGAGCTATCAGTGAAGAAAACAGAACAAGTTTTACCTGATTTATATTCCAGGTAATCCCTGTGGCCATGCCTCAAACAAGTGTCATAAATGTGGTATAACAGAGATGCACAAATCCACATAAAACCAGGAGAGATGTACACACAGGAAACACAGAGGCAAATAGAAAGGTTCTAACTAGTAGAAAAATATATTGAATTAAAAAAAAAAAAAACCTGAAGGTGATAAAATAAACACAGAGCATTGCCTGAAATTGTCCTCATAGCTGATTGACATCTGATCTACAGATCCATGAGTAAGGCATTCCTACATTCCCAGTCATGTTATCTGTTCAGTGTCATCAGTTGAGCCAGGCAGATAAGATTTGTATGCAAGATTATTAGCTATGTTTCTCTTCTTTACTGGCAATAGTGTGATTTTGTCTTTGCTCTAATGATAACCTTTTTTGAATCAACATTAAAGTTTCCTCATACCAGGAAAATCAATGAATGAATAGCTCTTTACCAAAAAAGTCAAAATATCTATATTTTAATAAATAAATCAAACTCAAATGTGAATGGTGTCTACAGAAGACACAATTTTATCAATGCATACATGAATGACTAAAGAAACCTTTACACAACCCATGAGATAGACATTTAAAATTTTTTTGTAGGGCCTCCCCTGGTGGCACAGGCAGTTGAGCACAGCACTGTGAAGCTGTCCACAGCTTCTGCAGCGCTGGTTCAATCCCTGTCCGCCAGCCAAGGTCCCACATGGCACTACAGATGTCTCCTGCCCTGCCCTGCCCCGCCCACTGCTCCCCTCAGCAGTGTACTTTGTCAGTCTACCTGTTCTGTTCCCCGCTCTGGCTCTGGTGAATTCTCTCACCCTCCCACGCTTCTGACTGTACCCAGTGCTTGTATAAATAAATAAAAAAATAAATATATATTTTTTTTTTTTTTGGTAACGTAACAATTTAGTTTTTCCCCTGGAGTTACAAGACCTCTATTAAACTAATCTGGTTTATTAAGTAGTCTCCACAAACCTGTGTTTCAAAATGATTTTAAAAGATTAGAAAAATTGAAACTGGGATTTTTTATTGCTTAAAATCTCAATGTTATGATAGATGTTACATTAAAATATTTCAAATAACTACTAAATACTTAGTGTGATGGCAAGGAGATTGGAATAAAAATAGAGAACTGTTCTTTATGTCTGGTTTTATTACTAATTTAAGGAATAACTTTGGGCATGGGACCTAAACTTCTTTCAATTTCTTCATTCTTATGTTAGAAAATAGAGCAGAACATACTTATGCCCTTTCTAACTGTAACATTATCTGCTTCTATGCTTTAAAACTTACAGATTAGTACTATTATATCCTTGGTTGAAATAAGTATTACTTACTGAAGAAATCCACGAAGTGGCACTGCCCCCTTCAGTGTACCAACATGGGGAGATGCAAAACTAAATATTTTGTCTTTCTCTAGCTCCCTCTATATGCCTATTTCTGAATTATCAAGAATTTTTAAAACTGAGCTGTAAATGCCCTATTATGATGAAAAAAATTAAAATTATTGTAGATTATGTTTAATGACTTGTTAGCTAAAGTACAAGCAAGAGTTATTTAAATGCAAAGTGAAGCTCTTAGGAGGTAAGATTTTGTATAGGTCAAAAACAGGAACAATCTGAAATATCTGATGACCCTTATGACTAATTACCTCCCAAAGCCCTTATCTCTAAAAGCCATCATCTTGGGAATTATATTTCGATATGTAAATTTGGAGGAATGGGGACACAAATATTCCAGCCTACAGCATTTTGTTTCCTTCCCCACATGTCATGCCCTTCTCATATGTAAGATATAATTCATTCTTGTTTCTGCATTAACTAAGAAGTCCAAAGCCTCATCTAAATATGTTATATCAGACTTAAGGTCATATTCATTCTGAGACAAATTGGTCTCTAGCTATGAACCTGTGAAAACAAGTTATAAGATTCCAAAATGGAGGGACAGGCATACAATGGACATTTCCATTCAAATGGGAGAAACAAAAAGAATGAATGGGTCCCAGGTCAATTCAAGAACTAACATCATAATCATTACACATTTAAAGTTCATTTGAAATCTAATGGAGGCAGCTCAGTCCCTAAAGCTGTGCACTCCACATGCCAGCAGAGACAAGGCTGTATGGAGATCATCAAATTTTGCTGCTTAACGCACCAAAGGCACAGCCATTGAGGACTACCAGTGACATTTGAAGCAACTGAGAGTTGTGGAGCCAGAGTATAGAGCAATGCCTACACAGACTCCACAGATACCAGTAGCCCCTTTTCTAGACCCTCTACACCACCCCAGGCTCTTGCACCTGGGGGACCTGTTGGACATATCAATTCTGTTGATCTTTGAATCTCCTTTAGGGTCATTATGGTCATTCTTCCATGTTTTAAAGAATGTGGCTTGAAGAATAACAAACATTTATTTCTCACAGTTCTGGAGAATGAGAAGTCCAAGATAAGGTTCTGGCAAATTACAAGGGCACTAATCACACATGAGGGTGCCACCTGCCTGACTCATCACCTCCTAAAGGTCCCACCTCCAAATATTATCACTTTGGAGTAATTTGTAAATTTCTTGGGGAGATATAAACATTCACTCTATAATAAAGACTCAATGAAATGTCAAAAAATAAAACAGTATTTACTAGAAACCATATTTATTTAAAGCCAAAAATAATATGATGAAGCATATACATTTCAGAGAATTAGTTATTTTTTTAATCAATCACCAATTTTACACAATGAAATATCACATTAATGTCTATATTTCTTTATGGCAATTGTAGTATACAAAAAGAAGATACATAGCATTATTTTTAAATGGAGTGAAACTACAGTAAGGGACTTGTTCACACCACAAAAAACTTTAAAAATAAATTTAAAATATCATATGCTAAAAATAATTTTTGTATTATGCAGATCTTGGAATATAGGGATATAAGCAAGTAAAAACAAAAGTTTACATTTACTTTCTGAATAACTTATAGTTAAGTCTGATTTTCCATGAAAAACATGGTATCACAAGAAATAATACTTCTGTTTAAGTTTACAATTGCATTTTCATGTACAACATAGTTATCACTACAGGAAGAAGCAGGTTTTATTTTCTAAGAAAAAGGCAGAGTAGCACGCAAAAATGAGCACTACAAGAAACAGAGTAGAATGAGTTTTACCATGAATACTTTAAAAAGAGGCACCTTTCTTTAACTTTCATGAGAACAGTGAGCTAAGGTTCGCATCTCAGAATAACCACATCTAAGAACACAGACTTGATTTAATAAGGAACACAAAAATGCATTCCATTCTGCTGATAAGTCTTGTGTTGAAAAAATACATTACATATCCAGGAAAGAAGCTAAAGTGCAGTAGAGGCAAGGTGATTTATGAGTATACAGTCATTGATACATTACACTTTTAATTAGTACAAGCAAGTAAAAATAATACTTTAATGATTGATCCCACATAATCTTTACTCATAAAACTATAGATCACAGAGAAATAACATTTGCTGTGTTTTATTATTATCTTTGAATAAATATTTATCTATTATTTAAATAAAAAGCAGCAAAGTTTTTATTAAGCAGTGTCAGAATTTGTAGTTTTTGTTTTTACAAAATGCAACACACAATGTCACATTTCAAAATTTAAAAACAAAACTCCAATTCTTGTGCAATTAGAATACCACAGTGATTATCAGGATCTTATAAAAAAAATCAACTATCTCCGCTGTATACAATCAAATGAGATACTAAATTTCAGTAAGTAATCTTGAAGATTTGGTCAAAGATGTTTTATGAATAAAGCATGTGTGAGCAAGAGCTGTTAAATATACGAAATGTAAACTTCTTAGGAGGGTACAGATGTCTCTAAATTGATCAAAAGTCTAGACTGGCTACAATCCTAGTCACCTCTTATTCTGATAGTCTGATCTGTTTTCTCACTCTCTCTCTCTCTCTCTCTCTCTCTCTCTTTCTCTTCTATAGGCAGCTCCTGATTTTCCAATTAAGACAGGGAACAGGCATGAAAAATATAAACCTTATTATTAAAAAATGTAATTTATATCAAAAATCAAAAATTCTTTTAAAACATAGATGAAGTTTGCAAAATAAGGGTTTGATACATGTGCACAAATAAAATTTTCTTATAAAGTATCATGATATTTGTATCTGCCTTTTTTTTTTAAAGGTGAAGAATGTCATTTTTTCCACCTGGAATCAAATTTGTCATCAATAAGAGGACATACTGACGGACAGATTAAGAGTAAGAATGGGTTAGCGATGGTATCTCTATTACTCTGTCTCAACAAACATTGCTCTGATGATGTCCGCAATTTCATTGCATATTAATGTGATAGCCCTGTGATTCATTTTCTGTTATCTCATGTTAAATTATTTTCATCTCATTCTATATGTTGTTTTATGAATCACAGAGTAAACTCCTAGTCAACCAAGTAGACAGACACTCAGTTGAAACACACATTTAGACTGTTCTCACACTTATATTCTCAGCTTACCTGTCAAAGCTAGCACCCAGTAAAAAAATAATGTACAAAAGTAGGAAAATATATTCACAAATCACTGAGGGTTGATTATAAGCCTGAGCCAACATGTCTTTTTCATGTGTCCATCTATCTTCTTGCATGTGGTGGTGCTGCTGATTTTTCAAAATACATGAAATCCTGAAATTGGAAAAATAATTGTTATGTATGGGTAGAAAGATAGGTAATTATTTATGTGTATATAGACAGAAATTAGATGCAATGCATATAATATTGTTCGTTATAATTAATCAGGCGATCCTCCCAACTGAGCTAGGAATAAATACATTTAATGGAATCCTTATGAAGAGGACTTAATACAAAGGATGGCAATTAAAACATGAAAATGGTGATAGCCATTAAGTTTTCCATTTTGGGTAGTTAACTAAACTTTCATTGTTAAAATGGAAAAATTGATAGTAGTTATAAGATTCCGATGTTTTCGGAATGTTATAAGATTCTAAATGTTTTTCTATTTAGAAGCAGTTTACACTAAGAAACCATAAATATAGTACAGGAAATAATCTCAAATAGAAAATTTTGGCCAAGAAGAGAAAGTGTTAAATATTTTAAATGAATAAACTGAAATATGTCAAGTTTATAAGTAGTATTATCAATTTTATGAGTGTTTTATTTGTGAATATTAACCAACAATCAGGAACACGGAAAGGGAACTGTACCTCGTAAATCCAAAGGTGGTATAATATCAACGAATATACTGACAAAGTGGCGGAAAGGTGGGAGAAAAGCCAACAGCTTTGAGGTTATTTTATTTAATTAAGTAATAAAAGGACAGGAATTTTAAAGTAGTGAGAATAATTACATCAAAGATGACAATTACACCTATTGGATGCCTTATATCATTGGATGCCAAGCACTATGCCTGACCCATTACTCATATAGTTAACACCATGAGAAATGGAAGTACTTTGATCTCCATTTTACAGATGAGGACACTGAGGTTTGCAAATGTTAAACACTTTACATACCCTGTAACTAATAAGTAGCAGAGACAGATAATGCCTAGTTTCAAAGCTTATTGCCTGGCTACACCTCATTGCTTCTCATCAAAAAGACTAATTCTCTCAGGATAACTCAAAATCAAAAGGCTTACAATGAGGAAACAAGCTCCAAAAATCATGGCTTTCATCTTCACATCCAGATCCAATGGGAAGTGAATGTCAAAATGGTCAGCATCAGCCATTGTTGACAACACACCATTCCACTTCCTAATAATACTGCCAACAGTGGATATGCCATCAAGGGATTGGACCTAGAGAGAGAAGAATATGACTTCATGGTGATAAAAATCTATATATGTTTTTCTATTTAGAAGCAGTTTACACTAAGAAACCATAAATATAGTACAGGAAATAATCTCAAATAGAAAATTTTGGCCAAGAAGAGAAAGTGCCTTGTAAATGGTCAGTCACTGAGTTGGGATATATTTTCCAACTTTCATTTCAATACTCTTTCTTCAACTTCAAATGTGTTATTGAAAGTATTATATATGAATAGATTCTGTAATTCTTTTTAATATAGCAAAAGGCAGGAATTGGGCATTGGAAGGAGTCTTTCACAGTCTAACATAACATGTGAGCAAAATTAGGGAGACATGGTTCTTTGTACTTCACAAACCCTGTATCATTATTCTAGTTTCCGTGGACATAGCCACCCTATCTTATTGTTTTTAAGATTTATTTATTCATGCATCCAAGAACTGGGGTACAGGCCAGATATGCGGGACGGCGGGAGGATTCACCAGAGACAGAGAGGGGAACAGAACAGGCAGACTGACTGAAATACACTGCTGAGGGAAGCAGCAGGTGAGACAGGAGAGGCCTGCCACACTACGTGGGATTCTTGCCGGCCGGGAAGGAACAAGCACTGCAGAGGCTGCAGACAGCCCCACAGCGCTGTGCTCAACTGCCTGCACTACCAGGGGAGGCCCATACCCTATCTTCTTAAGGTGTATCAGGAGACCAAAGGGCTTCAGTTTCTCAAAGGGGTATGGTGGGAGAGAATAGGGGAAGATGACAGATGGGTAGGATCTGTGAATCACTACTACTTTCATGGACACTGGGGATCAGTGTTTTGAGGGAGCAACCACATCTGTAATAGAACTGGGGACATAAGGACCTTCCAGTGTCATAGCAAGGAGGAGAGCCAGAAACTATCAGAAAGGGAAGGAAGAATGAAAAACAGTAAGGGATGGTGCTGGTTCACCTAAAGGGATACCTGCCCTTTTCTCACCTGTCCCCTGGGCTCTTCTGCAGCCCCAGCCCAAGACTGAGAGCACACACTTCTAGCAAGAACATGCCCTGTTTGTTCAACAAAGGGTAATAAGGTGACTGGTTTGGCAGTGAGTAGAGTCTCTTGAATCTGTCCCCCCTCCCTGTCTGGTCTCTGGGGTCCCAGGACTATCTGCAAACCTCCACCCCCCAGAGAACTGGGAAAGCCACCAACACCTCCCCATATGTGACCTCTGACCTGTGCCCAGAGTACATGAAAAGAAACTGAGTGGCCACAGTGAGTTCAGTCTGCCCATTGGTATTTGTGTACCCACATTGGGAAGTCACTGAGGAGCAGTTCTGGAACTACCATAGTTTCTTCACCTGCCTCACAGCACAGGAGAGTGCAAGACCTCTGTGTTTTGCATGGAGCCTCTGCAGCAGGGGTTTCATTGACAACAGACTTTGGAAAGCCTGGGTATACACCCAACCCTCTCCACTGTGACACCTCCAACCTGTGCCTAAAGTACATAGAAACAGTGAAAAGTCAGAGTGAACTCAGTCTACACATTGTTTTTGTAACTGTTTTGAGGAGTCACTGGAAGACCAAACTTAGAGCTGGCACAATTTCATGTGCTATATTCCTTGTACAGTGGGAAAGTGCAGGCTCTCTGGTCATATTGAACATACCTTGTCTGCAGGGAGGGGATGAATGGACAGGTTCCAAAAAAACCAGGTAAGTCACCTTAATCCTTCCCCCTGCATGACCTCTGGAACTGTGTTCATAGTGTATGTTCTAAAACTACAAGTAACCACAGTGAAAACAGCTTTCAAATAAAGCATCCTAGCTGCTGGTGGAAAGTATGAGAAGCCTCCTCCAAGCATGCTCTCTTGGGCTTCTACTAAAGCTCCCAACTTGCTAATGCTGGAGAGTGTAGAATCTGTTTAGAAGATCTAACACAGCAAAAAGTCAGACATAAGACCTGGAACTGCAAAACATTAATGCCATTACCTTCAACGATATCTTTGCAGATTCATCTCCAATGGCAAGAGAGACAAAAGTAAATATAACAAATGGGGCAACATGAAATGTCTGTAGAGCAAAAGACACTACCAATAAAACAAAAAGACACCCTATTGAATGAGAGAAAATACTTACACTATCTACATCTAACTTATAATATAGAGAACTCATGCAAACACTTCTTGTTACTCATGTAACAAAAAGGAAACAACCCAATTCAAACATGGCATGAGAACTAAATAGACACATATCCAATTTTACGTATCCAAAGACAAATTGATGGCAAGCAGGCACAAAAAAAAATGTTCATCATGACTGATGAAGGAAATGCAAATAAAACCACAATGAGGTATCACCTCATGCCTGTGAGAATGGTCCTTATCAAAAAGTCAGAAACAACAAGTGTTGGTGATGATGTGGAGAAAAAGAACCCTTGTATACTGATGATGGAAATATAGGCTGGTCCAGCCCCTATGGAAACAATATGGTGGCTTCTAAAATATTAAAAATAGATCTACCATGTGATCCAGCAACTCCACTGCTTGGTATCTACCTGAAGAACACAAAATCTTTAACTTGAAGGGTTATATGTGCTCCTATGTTCATTGAAGCATATTTATAATAGTCAAGATATGAAAACAATCTAAATGTCCACAGACAGAGCTGTGGATTAGGAAGATGAGGTAGAATATTCACAGTGGAATACTCAGCTATAATAAAGATGACCTCTTGCCATTTGCAACAACATGAAGGGAAGTCAAGGGGTTAATGCTGTTAAACAAGTCATAAAAGAAAGACGGATTTCAGATGATTTCACTTATATGTGGTATATAGAGAAACATAACGAGGGGAAAGACGAAACCAAATCAATGATAAACCCGAGAAACCTGGTCATGGAATTGAGACTACAAGATGAAAAGGAGGAAGGGTGAAACAGAGTGGAAAAGCAGCACAAGTGACTATGTTGGAGAACTGAGGGTGCCTTGGTGGTACGTGTGGTATGGTGACATCCATCTGAGCAGATGGGTTTCTATGCCTTTGAGTCACATACAGTATTGTAAATAAATGTTGCTTCATTAAACAAATTTTACAATGATAAAAAATGAGCCCATATTTTCTCATATATAAATATCAAAAAATAAAATAAAAAGTAAACCATAACTCTTTCCACAGGGAAAATACCCAGAAAGATCCTGTGCATCCTTCCCTTCAAATCTGTCTTGTCTATATTATCTGTTTCTCTACAATGGTCTTCAAATAAATTAACAATGTTTAATGGTATGACGATGTAAAGTGAGAACCAAAGAAAATGTATGTTATCATAAATAGCTGAATGAGTAACTTTACATGATGAACCTTGCTGAGGCATTCAGGACTGGTTGAGAAGCTCAGGAAATATTTCGCTGAATCTCCTTTGTCAGATTTATCAGACAAGTAATCATTTTATAGCCTTGAGAAAAGGGAAAACAAAAAGAATTTTCTTTTCTTGAAAAAATGTGATAGCCTATTCTTATGAGTTTTATCTATGAGTATTGTCCTAGTCCTCTAGGATGCTGACAGCTAGCCTGCAAAACCCAAAGTGAACAATCTCATGGGTACTTCCCCATGAGATTGAAAATATTGTCCTTTTTGCTAATTACCATTGCAATCACATATGTTCTGTGATATGATGGTGCTTTCATTACTCACGACCTACATGCCAATCCTGGAAATTTTTTGGGAGAAGTGGTTAAATAAATATAGTAAGAGAAAAATAGATTGGTTTAGGTCTAATATTGTGTGCTTCTCCTTATCTTTATCAAACACTGGGATCATGAAAAAGGAGATCATGTTTTGGAAAACAATAAGCAAGTCACTAAACAGTAAGTTGAAAATCATTTATTTGCTCTCAAGCTGTTATTTAATACTTCCTTCATAATACTTTACTCAACATGAAATGATGATCTAAACCCAGATCATTCTGAGGTCTGTTAGTACCTGTAGAAAAGGTAGTAGAAACATTACTTTTAAATTTGTTTACCTCAAAAACAGAATCTGAACCACAGCCATAGGTCAAGCATGGTCCATGCACTCTCAACACATTTTCTTTCTTCTCATTCTGGAGACTATAAACAGCCCTGCACAGGTTCCAGTGCTCCGCAACAAAGCCAATGGTGACACCAGGAGGACATTGCACCTCCAGCTGCAGAGGAAGCAATGACAGAGGCAAGGATGTAACAGACATGTATGTGCACACACCACCTGGATGTGCTCCTAATTCACTAAAGGGCTAGGAATAATAGAGGGAAAGAATCTTCAACTTTACCGGGACTATTTCATGCTCATGTATTTTAGTGAACAATCTTAAGGGATGGGGTCACACTTTGCTTGTAACAAAGTTACTACTTATTATAAATGGTAATTCTCCCAGATAAGCCCTCCTCAGCTGTGTATGTTGCACCTGCCTGGGCTCCTCCTGGACACTATACAACTTGAAGGAAAAGGGACCTATGCAAACACCTGATGCTCATGCTATAAAAAAGTCCTTTGTCTCTGATCTAGGAGTCTCATTTCTCTTAGTGCCATCTATGAAATATTATAAGCTAACTTCTTAGATTTAAATCTCAGACATGCCAATTATAATAGAATCCTAGGACTGAGATAAAAGACAAAAAGAGATGAAGAGATTAAAAAATCAAAAGTATATAATAATCAATTACTTAAAATAATTCATACTATAGTATGAATAAAAAGGAATGAAATATTGACTCCTGTAACAACTTTAGGAATGTAAAGGCAATTAAAAAAGCCAGCCCTAGATGGTTTTATACTATACAATTATGTTTATATGCCAATCTTGAAATAACAGAATCAAAGAAGAGAAGAATGAAATAAAAAAGAAATGAAATAAAATCTAGATAAGAAATCTAGATAAATGGGGAAATTTTCCATATACTGGACTAAGGTTACAATTTTGACTTGCTGTAGTTTGTCCTTGCTTCCTATTTTGGGAAAGCTTTCATGTAAAAATCCCTACTTATAAATACAAGAAAAAATCTACTATACAAAATCACCAAGAATATGAGGTCAAGATTCATATAACTATAATACTTTTGTTAACAATGACAAGAATGACAGATGAATATCTGACAATAGCTAACACTCACTGACCAATACACTGTTTTCCAAGTGCTGTACTAAGCAGCTAGCATCTAATTACTTAACCCTCACAGCAGTCAATCTATGAGATAGGTACTAAGGGTTGTCAATAAATTACTATTGTAAATGTTAATACTTAACATATAATGCAAGTATCTCAGTAATCCTATGGGATATGGTTCTACCCACGTCTTGTATAAGAATACTAAGGCTCAAAGAGGTTAAGTAAATTGGATGAATTTAAGTAGGTGGCATATGTGAAATTCAAGTATTCTTGGATCTCTCTCTAGCAGGGCTTTTCTATTCCCTGAGGTGTCTTCTCAAGCTGCACAGGCTATAGAGGAATAACCAAACAGTAACTCAGCATATCATCTTTCTAGTTCTATTATTGCCTACTAGTAAGTAAAACACCATTGTTAGACACGATCTTCATCCACCTTTTCTTTTGGTAGAAAGGTGTAGATTGTGATGATTAGTGTAAATTTATCTCAAGTCTCTTCTAATTCTAAAAGCATGTTTATGCTCAGTAATATCTATATGGGGATATATAGATGTATGTGACTATTGCTCTAGGTGATAGGGACATTTTTAGTATCGAACATACAACTGACAATAGGATTGTCATCATTGACTAAGTAACTCTTAACTTGTGTTTGACCCACCAATTATCACTGATGCACAAGGAGCAATAATAAAAAGCCTTCATGATTTTGCTTAGGTGAAACATCTTGCTTTTCTCCCTCTTCACTATTATCTTTCAATCTGACTGGCAGTCAGTGAAAATTCCCTCCCGTGTAGCTTTGAAAGGAGCACAACCATGCCCTGAGGAGTTGAATGAAGAAGTGACAATGGATTAGACTTCTGTTCTCTGACCTCTTGCCTGGTGGAGGGACAACAGAAGCAGCAGCAGGTGCATCTGAAAGGTCTCTGCATTGTCATGACTTCTCGGCCCATACAGTCAGTGACCCGGAGGACGAAGGGCCTTAGCGTCCGATAAGTATTCCTGGTGAAGTCATTTGTGTCTTCATTTACAACGTAAACCATCTGGTCCACACTGTTCTTGACATCATATCTATTATTAGTTTCAAAACCTGTTATCACTAAAAATCAAAACAAGGAGACATTTTAAATTAGAAGCAGTTAAAATAGGCCTCAAGAAATGCTTTTTGTAGTATTTCTTAGGCAGTTAAAGCAAAATAGTTTAAGAAACATTCAGCTGAAACGTATATAACTGATTAAAACAACAAACTAGTTCACATGCCCTAGGAATATTTAACGGATTTTGAGAATGTAAAATTTTTTAAGAAATATTTAAAAACTCCTCCCCCATAAAAAAAACAGATTATATTTCTGTAGCTCTTGAATTCAAAGAACTTTAATTATTAAATAATTTAAGGGAGATTAAATATTGGACCATACATTAATCAGTTCATGAAATGTGCTGAGATGATTTGGGTCATTGATAATTGCAAATAAGAAAATTAACCAAAAAAAGTTTAAGGCCCTGTGTGGCAGTAAGGGATGTATTGACCTGGTATACTGATGGTCAGTGATCTTGTGAGGATGAACAACATCCAATATCAGGTACTTTGACTTCTCACTTCCAAAACAAGGGCAGTGGACTAGAACTCAACAAATCAGAGATTAGGTTCTACTTCTACCTACTATCTGACTCTGGATGTCTCTAGCTAGCTCATTCAGTCTTTTGGTCCCTTCCTTTTTCCATTCACGAGAGGTGAATATGGAGGAGATGGAATGTATAAAGGGTTGTGGTTGGATCAGATAAAATACAACTCCTTTTCAAATCTAAGAGTTTATAGATGATAGATAAATTAAATTGTACAAAATAATTTTTTTTCTTTCTTGAAGACATATTAATATATTGTCTTTGCTCTTTGAATCACTAACAAATGATCAATATAAGGAGCTAGATATTGGATAATGCAAATTTTCATCTGATTTAAGGACTGCTGCACACTACAAAATTATACATACTTTCCAGAGGTTCAAAATGCTGAAGAACGTGTATGTTGTCCAACTGTTGAGATAAAACACAGTAACTTGAAATAACAGAATTAAATCATCACTACAAAAGAAACTGATGAGACGGGTATTAAATCAATTAATACCAAAATATCTTTTTTGAAATCAAATGAAATAAAAAACTACCAAGTGCAATCAGCCTATCTATATCTAACCAGATGTTTATTAGCAGACTGTCTAGTAGAAAACCACTTTCTTCCAATTCCACTAAAAAAGATCAAAATATTTGTCTACAATATTAGAAAAGCTGGCCTTCCCTGGTGGTGAAAGGGTTAAAGTCTCAGTGCATCAAGCTATTGCCAGCCAGCCAGCCACTGCAGCATGAGTTCAATCCCAGGCCAGGAAAATAACCCACATGGCACAGCAGATCTCTCCTATCTCATCCACTGCTCCCCTCAGCAGTGGATTTTGCTCCGTCTGCCTGTTCTGCTCCCCACTCTGTCTCTGGTGAATCCTCTCAACCCCCCACACCTCTGGCCTCACCCCAGTTCTTGTATGCATAAATAAAAATATTTGTAAAAAATAAAATATTAGAAATGCATCTTCTTGCTATATATATATATATATATATATGTACAATAAAAGCATCTAGAAGAAGCTGTGTTGACATAGATTGTTCCTACATATTCCCTTGTCACTGTTTTCTCTGACAGGAGTTACTGAGCAAGTTCAGAGAAGTTTAACAGTCATAAAGAAAGCAATTTTCTCCATGGCTCAGGGAGAGTAAATCAGCCAGTGTGGACCTCAAGCAGGAGTGTCCAATTTGCAGTTACTTCTCAGGTACTTCTAAGAGATTAACATACTGATTTCTATTCAATTAGCTACTAATACCAAGGTCTTCCCTAGGTGCACACCTTAATAAGGGGGAGGGTTATGGAGCCTGAAAGGATGTGCATATGACTAGGGCAAAGGAGAAGAAACATTCTTGAATAGGGTTCTTTAAAAGCGAGATTGGGAATACTATTATATAAACTTCTATATAAACTGTTCTTAAAAATCACACTGAAAACATAGTTTGATTATCTGCGAGACCTTAGGACAATTTAGCAGAGGAGAAGAAACCACTTAAGACAGAATAATCATACCCATGTGATTTTATTTATTTTTTTTTATAAATCATTTTCCTCAAGTTGCCTTTTTTTTAAGATTTTATTTATTTATTCAAGAACTGGGGTACAGGCCAGATGCACAGGAGGCTGAGAGGATTCACCAGAGACAGAGTCAGGAATAGAACAGGCAGATGGACGGAAGTACACTGCTGAGGGGAGCAGTGGGCCAGACAGGAGAGGTCTGCCGCGCCATGTGGGATCCTCGCCGGCTGGCCGGGATCGAACTTGTGCTGCAGAGGCTGCGGACAGCTTTACAGCACGGTGCTCAACCACCTGCACCACCAGGGAGGCCCATACCCATGTGATTTTAAATACTAGATCTTGGATTTCCAATGACATTTCTATATCAAGTATAAAATAGTGACTTTCTAAACATGATTAACTAAAGAAATTTTGTAAGTTTCTGCAATAATGCAGGAATTTGTTCTTGAACTCTACCTGAATAACTGGCTTTCAGTTATGTCAATTTTAACAAAAGTACATTTTTTAAAGATTTCTTTATTTACTTATGCATAGAAGAACTGGGGTATAGGCCAGAGGTGCAGGGGGACAGAGGATTCACCAGAGACAGAGTGGAAACAGAGCAGATTTACTGAAATACATGGCTGAGGGGAGCAGCAAATAAGGCATGAGAGGTCTGCTGCGCCATATGTGGGATCGCTCCCTAGTCGGGGATCAAATTCAATCCTTAGCGGTAACAGTGCTGAGACTTAATACCTAGGCCACGAAAGAGGCCCCGAAATTACAATTTTTTGTTTTATGTAAACTCCAATTTTACTGATCCAATTATACCGACTGACAAATATCAACATAATAATATTGTACCATTTTTTTTTTTCAGAAAGGATAAGGACTGACCCATATTAAGCTATGTGCATCTTATACTATTTTAATCACATTGAGTCTTAGATTCAATTAGATTTTTAATCACATTGAATCTTATTGCAGTAACAGTGGTTTGTGACACTGTGTATGATTCAGAGAGATAGGTTCACACCTCTTCAGATGTTAAGTTACCACATTACACTCACTACCAAAGTACCCATATTCCTCTACCATACTTCATGTACCAATGGTTTTCACTGTACATGATTAACAGGTTCTCTAACAATATACAAAACTGAAATGAGAAAAATGTCAATTACAAGGAATATTTGGTTCACTATGTAGGGAGACATGTATCAAGTTGGCAAATTCCTTGTCTCAAATGTATTTTAGTATTTCCTTTTCCTAAAAGGAAATCATGATTCAGTATTTCTATTAGACGTCTTATAGTTTATTTTGATTAGAAAATATTTTTTATTTCTTAAATAGATTTTTGAATAACACCACTTAGTACACTAACTTGATATATTGGCCCAGTTTCTGATCTGGCTATCCTGTTAACTCCAGAATGTCTATATAGATGGAAATTAGAGCGTAACGTCACATTGTGGGATGAGGTTCTATGGAATTTGGCACAAAGCAGTATCCTGGGTAGGTTTCCTACTTTTACCCTTCACATTTCTGAAATTCTTACCATCACTCCTATAGTCTCACAAATTAAACATCTGTTATCACAGACCTGTCACCTTAATGTATTCATCTAGTCTTGTGTTTCTTCATTTCAGATCCCCAGCCATACTTCATTTGAAAAATATTCTTTGATCTGTGTACCTGGGCTAAGTATTCTAGACCAGGAGGGCAGTTTGGCATAAGAGGTGGCCCTGGCATCCACACTACTGGAGCAGACTGATTTGCCATAGGATATCTTCCAGGTTGGTACTGGATAGGAAATGTACTACCAGTTGGCTGGTATAAGGGGAAGGAACTGGACTGCTGTGGATTGTAGTATCCGAAAGGCATGCTTCCTGGGCAGCCTGCATGTGGAGGGACACCAGGTCCAGGGGGTCCTGTGTTCAAAAACAAATTAAAATAGTATACATTATTAATACTCTAATATACTGGATTTTTTTAAGATTTATTTATTTATGCATACAAACTGGGGTACAGGCCAGAGGTGTGGGAAGTGAGAGGATTCACCAGAGACAGAGTGGGGAACAGAACAGGCAGACTGACTGAAATACACTGCTGAGGGGAGCAGTGGGTGAGTCAGGAGAGGTCTGCTGCACCATGTTGGTAGCTCCCTGGCTTGGGCTTGAACTCAGGATGCAGTGGCTGTGAACAGCTTCATAGTTTGCATCTTAACCCCTTGCACCACCAGGGAGGCCTACATTGGAATTTAACATGACTTATTACATGACGTTACACAGATCACACAATACCTACTTAAAAATAACAAGGGATCACACAAAACCTAGTTAAAAATAACAAGATGTTCCATTTTCTGAGTGTGTATCTTGTAGCAACAACACTGGGGAATTTACATATTAACTCATTTAATCCAAAATGTTATGAAATAATCATTCCATTCAGAGTTCTAAAAATAACATTGGAAACATCAAGTAACATATCAGGCTTTCTATGTACTACACTCCTCCTTTGGAGACAAAAATGTTTCTACTTCATTAGGTTGTAGTGGGATTAGCATAAGGAGCATTAGCTAATTATCATTAGCTAACACATAATTAGCAACGTAATTTTGCTATTATGTTTATTGTTCTTATTGTTCATGGTCACAAAGTTAGTACTACTTAACTTTAAAGGGCTATTGAATTCCAGAATTGTTTCATCATCCCACACTATTAGCAATTACTCCCCATTTGCCCCTAATCCCTGCACACCCTGGAAACCACTGTCTCTATAGATTTGCCTAATCTGGATATTTCATATGAATGAAATCATATATCATGTTGCCTTTGTGCTTGATTTCTTTCACTTAGTGTTAATGTTTCCAAGATTCACCCATCATGTAGCACGTATTAGTACTTCTCTCCCTTGTATGGATAATACTCTACTATATGGATATATCATACTTTATTCATCTAATAATCAATTGATGGGAATCTGGGTTGTTTCTGTTTGGTGGCTATTACACGTAACATTGTTGTGAATGTTGGTGTACAAGTTTTGGTGTGGACATATGTTTTCAATTCTCTATCTGGAGCATAAGATAACACCATGTTTAACTTTTTGAGGAATCGTCAAACTTTCCAAGTGGCTTCGCCACTTTACACTTCCACCAGAAGAGTATGAAGGCTCTAATTTCTCAACATGTTCACCAATACTTGTTATTGTGTCTTCTACTTCAGTTATCTTAATGAATGTGAAGTGGTATCTTACTGTGATTTTGATATGTATTTTCCTGAGGTCAATCCTAATAAATCCAGCCACTACCAGAAAAGGGCATTGCCTAAAAATTCCAGAAATTCTTTTGAAACAGACTTAAAGCAGGGGCCTCCCTGGTGGCACAAGGGGTTAAGCACAGCACTGTGAAGCTATCCACAGCCTCTGCAGCACAAATTCAATCCCAGCCAGCCAGGAAACTACCCACATTTCGCAGCAGGTCTCTCCTGTCTCGCCTGCTGCTCCCCTCAGCAGTGTATTCCAGTCAGTCTGCCTGTTCTGCTTCCGCTCTGTCTCTGGCAAATCCTCTCACCCCTTACACCTCTGGCCAGTACCCCAGCTCTTGTTTGCATAAATAAATCAATCTTAAAAAAAAGGAAGTATAGCAAAGTTGACATTTCTTATAAGGTAAATTGGATAGCAGCTCAGATTCTGGAGATTTGCACATTAAAGAAAAGTGTGATTGAGGCTGATGAAATCTGGGACATTTTGTTTACTCATAAAAATTACACTCATGAAAGTCACAAATTGGGAAACTATTTTTCCTACTACTGAAAACAAGACTATGAGATAAATCTGAAAACAAGACTATGAGATAAATCAAGCGTTCCTTTCTCTAGGAAATACTTTTTACACCAATGTCAAGGACCCTAAGTTATCTTGCTGCTAGAGATGAAAGCTATATACAGACAGATTTGGTCTTCATGGACATTTGATTTTGTGAAGGACACAGAGAGTTATAGCCAAACACGAATGGCTATAAAAAAGTAATTGGTGTAACATAGGTAGATGCATAGTGTGCTACAGGATTAGACAGGAAAAGCAATTAACAGAGGCAGAGGAGTTATCTTCTAATGTAAGTGTTGATAGTAACATTAAATTCAGCTAGCACAATGGGCAGAAGTTTTACAGCAAGAGTGTACACAATGAGTAGTTACACAAAGGAGATTCAATAGAGTAGGAGTCAAGGCCATGTATGGAGATTTAACAGACAAGGCTAGAAAGGAAGGTGAGGATGGAATGAAGATTATGAAAAACCTGTACTTTGTGCTAACAACTTGACCTTTATATATACTGAAATAATAGAGAATGGAATGGTTAGTTCTACAATTAGAAACTTTATGGATAAGAAAGTTATATTAGGGAGGAAGTACCTGCAAAAATTCAGATAGAAGCAAGAAAGCTGTTTGTAAAGAAAGGAGTAGAAAGTGGAGAAATAATAATTACCATTTGAGAAATAGTATTGTCTTGGTAATAGTCTGGATACAAGAAAAGCATCTCTAGTTACTGATTTGTGCTCATAGCTGTAGGCCTTCATGGCAGGAAATGAATAGAGAACATGTATTCAGAAGTAGGATGCCAAAGTTGTATTGAGGAACACTAAGCTTGAGACCCAGTCACACAGGGGAAGTGTCTATAAGCACTTGGAAATGCAAGAATAGAGCACAGGAGATGTTATGGGCAGGAGCTAAGAGATTTGTAAATGGTTAATGACAAGTGAAAGCATGGGTATTACTTAGAAGAACAGTAAAAAGATGGAGGAGGTAAGTGAGGGAAGCAGAGCAAGGCAGGACATGGGAGCAGACCTAGATAACTCTGAGCAACACCAATTTTAAGGGTAGGGAACACAAAGTTCTTGATAGAGACTAAAAGTTAAAAAAGACAAAAGAAAACTATAATGGAAATTATAGTTGAAGTAAAAAATCTACTATCTTTAAAGAAAATTGAGGAAACTACAGGTTTCAATTGTTCAAAAATAACCAAAGGAACAATTGTTTAAACTATAATTCAACTAAAAGTCATATAAACTATCTTAAGAATAACTGATTTTTTTTAAGATTTATTTATTTATGCATATAAGAACTGGGTACAGGACAGAAGTGCAGTGGGTGAGAGGATTCACCAGACAGAGTGGGGGACAGAACAGGCAGATTGACTGAAATACACTGCTGTGGTGAGCAGTGGTGAATCAGGAGAGGTCTGCTGCACCATGTGGGTAGCTCCCTGGCTAGGGATCGAACTCGTGCTGCAGAGGTTATGGACTGCTGCAGTGGCTGTGGACTGCTGCAGTGGCTGCATCTTAACCCCTTGTGCCATCAGGGGGGCCCAGAATAACTGTTATTTCAATGAGTTAATTAAGTCCTCTGATACTTTGTGATTTCTACATAAAAATACCTCATACAAGAAAATTTGTGAATCAACAAATTCCCTTCCCTTCGAGCTTGGAAATTGTTATTAAGGATTCTGATTTGTTCTATGGGGAAAAAGTCATTCTTAACTTTGTATAACTTTGTACAACTTTGTATGCCCCACTTAAAGAAAGAGCTCTTCCCTATAAAACATTGCCCTTCCAATACTTGTTTGAGGAAACTGCCTTATGGGATTTGTTTTCTTAGTTATTCTGATTATTATCTTTTTTTATGTCAAGAAATTTTGTGATTTTTCTCTTTAAATGGACGGACTATAACAAAAGTTTCTTTGTTAGCTATTCTTTCATACATACTATTTTTCAGTGGGAACACTCATCTATTGTTCTACAATGCTAATGGGAATTATATGGCTGAAATTAAAGAAAGTCATTAAAGCTAACTATTTCTAGTATTTCCTTAATGTAAATATCAATACTTTGTATCAGTCATCATAAATTAGTATGAGTATACAGTTTAACCAGTAGGTGGCAATCAAAATGAACATTTGTGAACAGATACATTTCTTAACTGAAAATTCATTAGTTATAAGCACAGCACCATATTTTTCAAGTTATCTAGTAATTTAAATTTAAGGCTGTCTTTTATTCTCTTGCTGCTTTTGATACAGCGAGGAATAGACAATACTTTCTCAGACAAGTACAACATGACGTACAGTTAGTATTTGCATCTTAGAAATGGTGGTGCAGAATTCTGTTCTAGTAGAATCAAAGTACTTGAATATAGTGATCAGTAATGTAAGATAGATTTTGTAGATCATGTTGTATCATTAACTGAAATCATTTCATAAGAAATGATTGGATATAATGTGATTCTAATACAGGAATTTAATGCCTTGGATTTAGAAACGGTTGAATCAGTAATGCTGAAATATGAAGAGAATGTATCAGATTCACACAGTGCACAAATGCAGCGGGAAAAGGGGAAAAGGAAGCCCTCCTGCTTCAGAGAACCCTACAGTAGCAAAGGCCATCTGAGCTCCATCGATCATATATCTAAAGCCAAACAACACTACTGCTGTAAAGATACTGAGGTTCCTTCTACCCTTCCAAGGCCTAACTCATTGAATTCCGTGTGTGTGTGTGTACTAAATATATATTTAAAATATATATATAGTATAGATACACTAAATATAATTTAAAAAATTATGCTGTGTGGGCCTCCCCTGGTGGTTTAGGCAGTTGAGCGCCTCGCTGTGAAGCTGTCCGCAGCCTCCGCAGGCTTGTTCGATCCCAGCCGGCCGGCACCCGCAATGGCGTGGTAGACCTCTCCTGTTGTGCCTGCTGCTCCCCTCAGCAATGTATTTCATCAGTCTGCCTGTTCTGTTCCCCACTGTCTCTGGTGAATCCTGTCACCCTCCCGTGCATCCATCCTGTACCCTGGTTCTTGTACAAATAAATAAATCTTAAAAAAAAAAATAATAAAAATTATGCAGTCCAGGGCCTCCCCGGTGGCGCAGCGGTTGAGCGCTGGGTTGCGAAGCTGCCCAAAGCCTCTGCAGCGCCGGTTCGATCCCCGGCTGCTCCCCGGCCACCGGAGGAGGGTCCCACATGGTGCGCAGACCTCTCCTGCCGCCCGCTGCTCCCCTCAGCAGTGTACTTCGGTCCTTCTGCCTGCTCTGCTCCCTGCCCTGGCTCTGGTGAATTCTCTCACCCTCCCGCGCTTCTGACTGTATCCAGTGCATGTATAAAGAAACAAACAAATAAATAAATAAATAAAACATGCCTCTGTAAAAAAAAAAAAAAAATTATGCAGTCCATTTTCTGTCATTTCCAAAGTAATTAAAATATATTTGACTATAATCCTAATTAAATCTATTTCTTTAGTCAAATTAAGTATATTTTTAATTTTTAAAACTTCACAAATTGCAAATTACTTTATGAAAAGACTACAATAATGCCTCTAATTTTTACTAGCAGAATTAATATCCAGTTCTCTGAGTCATCAGTTGTATATTCAGACTTATAAAAACATTTGCAGAACTACAAGTTCCTTTATCAGCACTCCTCATTCATTCACCTTTATTTATTTGCCTTTCTCATCCCATTTGTGCCATGGATGACTCATTCCAGACTTTGTGCTTTTGGAAATCTTATTATTTCAGCCAAGCATGAGTCCTTTCCCTTTTCTTTGATTGAGAAACTCCTTAGCACATTAATAAAACTTGAATTCCGCCATTACAGTATCCATCAGATTCCTGGTAGCATCAGTTACTAACTTCTGTTCTACTACAATAGTCTCTTCAATGTTCCATGATAGAACAAAGAGAATCCCATAAATGTTTTTACAACTTCTTCCTTAGTAGCCTATAACACCAATGAATACAGGAATATAGTCTAATTGACAAAGAATATTTACTACCCTACAGGCACTCAGTATTTATTGAATCATTCCATTAATTAATTAGTTAATTTAAAGAACAATCTTAACAACTGGTTGCTTTTCTGTAGAGGAAAGATGGTTTCTAAATATTTAGCATACCTGGCACGAAGTGGGAATTATAAGCAGGAGGGACATCAGGTTGATCAGGCAACCTTACTTGAGTTTCCATTTTATCCGAAGGCTGTTCAGGGGCTGAAGGGACTGCATCTTCAAGGAAGGAGGGCACATGACTTATAACGGAAATGGTAGTATGATTGCAGAACATATTGTTTCTGGTTGCTATGTATTAATAAAGGTAAACAACAAGAAATACACTCATATCTCTAACCAAAAAATGCATTATGTATAGTAGATGTCAATCTATTAATATATTTGATGAATTTTCAGCTGAATACATATAAAAAAATTAAACTAAGCAATTACATTGTGCTGTGATTAAAGCAATGTGCTTTCATACTCATTGCTGATCTGATGTGGATTCTTATCTACATAAATTCCTGACAGTACTGAAAACTCTTTTTTCCACATGGAATATGGAGAAAACAGTCACACATAGAGTGATTCTGATTTTTTCCCTAATTCTTTCTGGACAATGGCTATATTTTTAAACAATTCCAACCATAACATGGTAAGTAATTAATTCAAAACATGACACGATGGTTTAGAAAGCAGTGGTGCCACACACAACTCAATTAGAGATGATTAAGTCTGCATCGCCCATGACTAACATTTTTATCATATTCTTCCTGTCATTACTGCAAGAGATAAGACAAGTCATTTCCCAAGATAACATGAGTAACGAAATTTCTCCTTGGATTCACTATAGGGAAAAGTTCTGAATTTCTTAGCTGTTGACTTTTTATCTAATTAAAAACACAAATCCCCCAAAAGAATCATTTCTCTCTTTATACCATCTCCTTATATCATCTCGCACTGTTTGAAAATATAGGGAGTGCCCTTTGAGCCCTTATCCAGGCAGACTGTCACTGTAGGCTTTTACTTATTATACTTTGTTCCCTTTGCAATCATACTTTGCTACCTCATTTTTCCTTACCTAATTTTCCTCACATACTTTAAAAATCTTTCAGTTAATATGTTCCAATATAAATATCTTTGAATCCTTTTCTGTCAAAGATAGATAGTAATGTTCATATATTTATACACTTACACATTTATAGATATATATATATAAATATGTCTATATGTATATATCCTCAAAAACTTTAACAATAAAATATTTCAAAGTGACATAAACTCATTTTTAAGGAAAGCAATCACAAATAAAGTATATTAAAATTTATTCACAAAAACATACCTGACATTTTGAGGAATTCCTATTCACCCTGAAAAATAAACCAATTTAGTATGTTAAAAAAAAAAACCTTTTAATATGTTAAAAAAGTATGTTTACTCAGTGATACATGTAACAAATTCTGAGATATTTTGCATCATTACCTGTCATGCATTTCTTCATTAGCTCAAGAAATATTTACTAAACCATTAGTACTGACCAGACACCATAACAAATATAGAAAATACAGCAGTAAACTAGAAGATAGGGCACCCACCCTGCTGAGATTAAAAGGCATGTCAACGAATAAATAAGATTAATTTATTCATTGAGCTAGTATAATTATGAAGAAAACAACATAAAATGTCTAAGAAAAACATGGACAGGGATTAACAGATGGATCAGGGAAACTTCTCTCAGGATGTGACCTTTAAGCTATTTGAACAACGAAAACACATTACACTAACTGTGGGGAGTTCTATGAAGGCAAGGAAGTGAGTGTAAGCATCCTGCAGTGATAACATAAAGAATACTGAAGAGAAAGTTTAGGTGTGTCTGGGACACAGTGAAGAGGAGAACTTAGGTAAAAGATGTCATAACTTAATGACAGTATGTCTGGAATTTGGTCTTACTGCAGTTTGTCTTTGGTGGTCTTTGTTCAGTAGAGTAGTCAACCTGATAAATATTTTATCTTAAAGGGACAAAGAAAATAATGAGCAGTGAGGAAGGGATTACTGCAGTAACCGAGGAGTGGACCAGTTGATGTGGGTTTTGACTGGGAAAGTAACAGGCTATGTAAATGACTGGTGCGAAGCAGAACCTGCAGGAGTTGCTGATGGATTAAGTAAAAAAGAGGAGTCACACGGACCTCCCTGGTGGCACAGCAGTTGAGCGCCGGATTGCGAAGCTGCTCGCAGTCTCTGCAGCACCGGCTCAATCCCCGGCTGCTCCCGAGGAGGGTCCCACATGGCCCGCAGACCTCTCCTGCCGCCTGCTGCTCCCCTCAGCAGTGTGCTCCGGTACTTCTGCCTGTTCTGCTCCCTGCTCTGGCTTGAATTCTCTCGCCATCCTGTGCGTCTAACTGTACCCAGTGCTTGTATAAATAAATAACTAAATCTTTAAAAAAAAAGAGAAGTCACAGGGCCTCCCCTGCTGGCGGAGCGGTTGAGTGCTGGGCTGCGAAGCTGCCCGCAACCTCTGCAGAGCCGGTTTGATCCCCAGCTGCCGGTGAGGGTTCCACATGGCTCGCAGACCTCTCCTGCCACCTGCTGGTCGGGCCTCAGCAGTGTACTTCATCAGTCTGCCTGTTCTGCTGCCTGCTCTGGCTCTGGTGAATTCTCTCACCCTCCTGCGCTTCTGACTGTACCCAGTGCTTGCATAAATAAGTAACTAAATCTTTTTTTTTTTTTTTTTTTTTTAAAAGGAGTCACAGATTGATCTCAGTTATAGGACAGGAAAACTGAGCTCATGGTGATGCCATTAACTGAACTAGAGTGGAAGATGGTGGGAGAAATGGTAAGAAAAAAATGGAGGGTAGGAATCAAAAGTCCAAAGTGGTACATGGTATCTGTAACAAGAGGTCAAAAGACATACTAAACCTTTAAAAAATACATGTGAGCATAATGAGAATAACTTGGAGAAATAAACTGGAAACTGAGATGAGATTTGAAGTAAGGAGTAGGTGGGGAAGAAATCCCATGAATTCAAACAAAACAAGAAAAGATTATCAGTGAAATGATCTTCAGTATTTCAGGATTTCTGAGTTCTGGATGATGACAAAGAACAAGAACATCAGCAACAGCTATAATTTACTGAATGCTTATAAAAATACCAGAAAATATGAGTACTTTTCATATATTATCTCTAATAACAAAATCTAATATTTACTCACCAACTCTGCTAAAGACAAATATATCTAAATCCAAAGTTCATGTTTCTTCCCAAGACGGACACCCTGATCTCAGTGTACAGAATGAGATTATATGTATTATTCAAGTAGAGTACAAAGTCACCAATTTATCAATTGAATGGATGTGAATGAAGCATTAAAATACCACAGGTGGGCGTAGTCAATGTGCAGAATGAGTTGACTCAGTGAACTTCACCCATATGTAAATTCCCAGCTCAAATGACTGTCTTGTCAAGCCCGGGCCAGAATTCCATCAGTCTTGGAGCATCTTTATTCATCTCTGGAGCTAGAGCTAGTTATATAGTTTCCTGTATGTCCTAAAAGTTAAAAAAAAAAAAAAAAAGTTTTCTGGGCCTTATCAACTGTTGTCAGAACAAAAAGTTCAAGAAATTGGTCCTATTCCTTCAATAATGACAATCTCTGGCATTTAGGAAAACAACCACACCTTCCTAGAACCTTAAATTCTGGACACTCCTAGGAATGCACCTTCAAGTGATTCTTGCACATGTACACTAGGATATGTACATGAATGGTTCTGTTCATATTGAAAAATAAACTAAAAGCAATAGTACATTAGGTAGATTCTGGCATACTCATGTGTTTTAATAGTAGACTGTAGTGAAAACAAAGTGTAGTCATAAATGAACAAAGATGAATCTCATTATGATAGCACTGAACAAGTAAGTCACAGAAAATGTGATTCCAATTAAGAGTGGCCAAAGCAGGAAAATGAAACAATATACTTTTTTTCTGATAGGTATTTGGGAGAAACCTTTAAAGAAAAGTTGGAATTGATAACACAAAATTCATGAAAATGTTCACATGTGGAAAAGTGATTTGTGTGCAAATGTTTAGCACTGGCCCACAAGGGATTCAACTTGTTACTAAATTTCTAGTTTTAATAAGCTGGCAAGAACAGAGATGATGAGCTGCTATTAGTCCTTAAGGAGTATGTGCATATACACATAGACACACATACTTTTAAATATAGGTATTTATATTATTTACTAATTTAAAAAAAGTTATATGTTGAGTATAAACTTCTAACTAAATATTTATGGTTTCTTTTTGTACATTAAGCCTGGGGATTGCAAATTGTTAAGGAGGCATTATATAATAAATTAGAACAGATTACTGAGTGCTTTAGTAAAACAGGGCTGAATTATCTGTCTAGCCATCTGTCTATTATCTATTCAATTATCTACAGTGGCAAATGGTTTAGCATAATGCAATAGTGTAAATTACAATGATTTGCAGAATTTAGATAAAGTTTTGAATTTATTTGAATATAAAATATTTTTACTTTCCAAAATAAAAACTGAAATGAAGTAAACACAGATTCAAGAAGCAGTACCTCTGGATCCAGACCTGAAAATCTGTATTGTGTGTGTGTGTGTGTGTGTGTGTGTTTGTATAGAAGAACTGGGGTGTACGCCAGAGGTACAGGAGGATGAGAGGATTCACCAGAGACAGAGTGGGAAGCAAACAGGCAGATCTACCGAAATAAAGTACTAAAGGGAACAGTGGGCAAGACAGGAGATGTTTGCTGCACCATGTGGGTCAGCTCCCTGGCCGGGGATCAAACTCAGGCTATCGTAGTGATCGCGCTGAGACTTAAGCCCTAGGCCACCCGGGAGGCCCTGCACTTTTAACACAATGCTAGATGATCCTTATGACCAGGCATGTTGAAAACTGATATAATAGTTCCCAACCATACTAGGCTGACTTCAGAATTAAAATCTGATTCAAGTTATTGAATAACAACTTGAAAAACCCAATCTTGAATTTTCTTTAAATACATAAAAATATTTTTAAAAGCAACTACTATCAATGAATTTAAACAAAATAAAATGTGCCTACACATTAATCTACCAAGTGCTCAATAAGTTTACTTCACCCTTCAAGACATTAGTTTTTCATTTTCACCACCCTAAATTTTCTTCCCTATAAATTCTACAATATAATTTGAACCAAAATATTATATAAAACAGGATAATTTTCAGTTGGTACAAGAATGAAAGCAGTTAACTTGATTATCCCAGAATGTTTAATATTATTGTTTCAGATTTTTCTTCCAGTTAACCATTAAGGCCAAAAAATTGTCCCATATGCTGCAGACTGGTTTTTGGCTTTTATCAGATGAAATCCAGATTAGAGAGCTGAATGCATGTCCATTATAGGTTTGCATTACAAGATCCAGGAAGCTTTGAATTTAGAGACCTGAGTATTTTCAGGGTTTAGGCTGTAGACAGGGGAATCAATGTCTACTGGAATCTAATAAACAGGAAATGGAGACATGAGCAGAGAGGACAGGGTAATAGCATAAATGGCTTCCTACAGCAAGAAAACATTTAACATGGATCACTTGCTGAGCCCAGTGCTGCTGCTTTGTTATATGGTCACTCTTTGATTTCATCTTTATAAATAGTACCAAGTCAGAAAACCACAATAAAACCATAAGCCCTAGAGTCACATCATGGATATCTGAAATGCCAATCACAACAACTAGAAGGATGGTCAGTCTTTATCAGCTATTTACTGGACTCTGTCCTGGTCTGTTGGCAATGGAGCCACTGGACCTATGAGACTCCTGTGCTACTCCAGGCACTTGGAAATCTGCCCAGCAATCAAGGGGGGTGGTCGGGAAGGTTCTGCTTATCTCTAGTGCTGTCAGTTCTAAGAGTAGAGAAAAAAAAACAAAACTGGAGGTTATTGTCTAAGCAATTCTTTCTGCTTCCTAATAGGGCATGTAAGACTGCAAGTTCCTACAAAGTCCTAGTCTGCATAGTCTCAATCTCCCATTTGGGTTTAATCATGTAACTATTAGGAGATGATATCCCTTGTCTAAAAGGTAGGACACTTGAAAGAGAACAAAATATTTTATTGTTGTTAACCCACTGGTTGGTAATTTAATTGTATGTCAACCCACTTCTGACAGAATAGACTATGGTTCTGATAATCAGATAGAGCCAAGGTCTATCACTAATAGCTATGTGACCTTGAGGGACTGTTTTATTCCTGGTTTACCCTGTGTCATAGACATAATGAAAGTTGGATTCACCTTACAGAACAGTAATGTTGCAAACTTATCAAACAAATCACTGTTGTTACATTTCAATTTAAGACTCACTTTAATTAGATCAAATACAAAATGTGATTCTTTTAAGTTTTAGTATTTTTAGAAGAGTTAAACTATTTTATTTTTTATTTTTTGAGCATTTTTATTTTATATATTTTTACATCATTTTTCATTTTTGCACAATGTATACATTTTCATCTTGGTTATATTCCCCATACAATTCCCACCCCCCTTGTTTTGATCCTACTCCCTCCTGCCTCCTCTCCCCACCCCCTCAGTGTGTCTCTGGTTTATAGTTGCAGAGCTTCCATATGATCCTGCAATTCCACTCCTAGGTATTTACCCAAAAGACACAGAAACACTAATTCAAAAGGGCACCTGCACCCCTATGTTTATAGCAGGACTATTTACAACAGCTAAGCTATGGAAACAACCCAAATGCCCAAAAATAGATGACTGGATCAAAAAGATGTGGTACATATACACAATGGAATATTACTCAGCAATCAAAAAAGATAAACTCATGCAATTTGCAGCAACATGGATGGAGCTGGAAGGGATCATGCTCAGCGAAATAAGCCAGAAAGAAAAAGAAAAATACCGGATGGTCTCACTCATAACAGGAATTTAGAAAAACTAAATAAGGGACCGGGAAAAAGACTAATTATAATAAAGTAAAAATCAAGATCAACAAGCAATGATTTAAACTATTTTAAATGTATAGTTATTAATTAATGAAGACAATTCTATCACTGATTTGTTGGATTTCAGTTTTTAGTATCAATTTGCTAATTATCTGTATGATGCCAGGAACTTTGTATATGAAGACTGAGGTGCATGTTATGATTTTGATTACACAAGTAAGGAAAGAGAATTCCACAGTTTAAATAACTTCTTCAAGATCATAGTTCTATAAGCCCAGAAAACTGTAATTGAAAACCCATCATCAAAAGCCAAGGTAACATTGAAATCCCATTGCAAATTACCTTCTGCATCCTTGCTGCCCCTCTTTTGCTACCATACTCATGTTGCTTTCAAACTATCCAGTTATCCTTATTAATATACCCTACTATGCCTTATATAATAAAAATTGGAACTTAACTTCTCTAAGCTCCTTTTCAATTTCTATTTTGTAAGTTTCTTGAAACATGTAAAATTTGGAAAGAAATTATCCATGAAACCAAAGTTGTAAAATTCGTAAAAGAGACCATATTTCAGTTCTGGTTAGAAACAATAAAATTATACCACCCTAGCTCCCCCACTAAAAACAATTAATTACACTATACAGAAAGATTGGGCATTTGAAGACCCTGGAAAACAAGGATTAGAAGTACCACCAAACCAAAATCAGTTTCCTATTTTTAATTTGGTATATTGTCCCTGGTAATAAATTCCATACATTACATTAAAAAAGCTACTAAGTTTGTAGATCATAAACATTATACAGTTTGAAGAACTGAGAAAAATTTACTTAAAAAAAAAATCATCAAAACCTTAGAGATGTGTGGGACAATACCAATGGTTCATAGCCAAGTTTCACAATGTAACTGTGATCTGTGACACATAGTTGGTAGATTCCTTAGGAACTTCTATATGTAAGTCAAATTTGCTCATTTTTCAGTATGGATCCAAGACTTTTATTTTAATTGCCTGGATTGAACCTCCAGTATAGTGTAATAAAATAAGAATAGACATTCTTGTCTTGTTTTTGGTATTAAATAGGAGTACTGATGTTTTCTCCAAAGAAAATTATTTTAGCTGTGGGATACTTCATAGGTAGCTTTTAGCAAGATTAAGTGTTATTCTATCTAGATTATTGACTGAATTGTTTTGATCTGTCTTGACAGAATACTGAATTCTTTTTTTTTTTAAAGATTTATTTATTTATGCATATAAGAGCTAGAGTACAGGCCAGAGATGTGGGGGGTGAGAGGACTCACCAGAGACAGAGCGGGGACAGAACAGGCAGACTGACTGAAATACACTACTGAGGGAGCAGTGGGCAAGTCAGGAGAGGTCTGCTGCACCATGTGGGTTGCTTCCTGGCCGGCTGGTGATTGAACTCATGCTGCAGAGGCTGAGGATATCTTCATAGTGTGGTGCTTAACCCCTTGTGCCACCAGGAAAGCCCAAGTACTAAATTCTTTATTTTTTTTAAAAAAGATTTATTTATTTATTTATACAAGCACAGGGTACAGTCAGAAGCGTGGGAGTGGGAGAGAATTCACCAGAGCCAGA